AAATAAATAAAAAATTTTCTAATAAGGCACAAGTTAAAGGTTTTTTTTTATCATAAATGTATACAAAAAAATATAAAAATTGATGTTAATTTTAATGTCAATGTTAAATGGATTAATTTAATTAAATAATTAAAAAATTAAAAGTTAAATTTTATTTTTTAACATAAATTTATTATAAAAAAACATATTTATTATATTTTTAATTTATATCTTTAGAGGATAAATTAGGTAGATTTATAAATAAAAAAGTTAATTATTTAAATAATGTATAAAATTATATAAAAAATAATATAAAAAATTTGTTTCTAAATTTTTTTTTTTCAACCCAAAAAGACAAACCAAATATCAAATCTCTTGCGACGGAGGTATGAGATGACCATATTTCACCGCACAAGGCAGTCCCCTAGTGGCAATTAACGGCAGTTAACAGCGGTTAAGTTGCTGTGAGAATAAGGGCTAAATTGCTCCTATGGTAGAGTTTAGGGGTTTATATGTTGCAATTAAAGTCTGAGGGCTTATAGCGATTCTGGGTTTAGTTCAGTGGCTTAACTTATGGTTTTGCCGATGAAAAATTGGGTACAAATCAGGTCCGATAAGTTTGAAAACGGGTACCGACCGGATCTGGGATCATGGGGGGTTGATATCTGTTGAACCATGGGTCCTAATGAGAAACGGTGCAAACAGGAATGTGAATTTTACATTTTTTATTTAAAAATAATTAATTAATATTTTTAAATAAAAATATTAATTTTTTATTTTTTATTTTAAAATATTAATTTTTTATTTTTCTATTTAAAGATATCAACTTTCAATATTTCAATTAAAAAATATATTTGTCATATTAGTATTATTATTTAATTAATTCTTAAATAAAAAAAAATTAAAAATTAATATTTTTAAACAAAAAAATTAAAAATTCATATCTTTATTTAAAAATTAATAAAATTAATATCTTTAAATTAAGAAAAATCTAAAGTTAACATTCATATTTATCTCTTTTATCGTGTCCTAAAGCATGCATCCAATTCTGTTGGACCTTTACATGTTCTGGGCTTGTGTTTGGTTTAGTTGGAGTCCAGTTTAGCTAAGGTTTGGCTGATTGTGCACTTAGGTCCCATCTGCTTTTCTTCGTTCCAAATTTGGATCCCATCCGATTGTGCGCTATTATCAAACTCAATTCCTCCAACTATTTACTTTTGAAGACTTTGATGAAAGATATGCCATACTATAGGGATATTAGAAGAAGATGAATTAAAAGGTTTGTACATTAACATGCAAGTGGGTTGATTGAATTTTATGAATTGTGGAAGAAATTACAAGAATTATTTAAGTGTAGGAATGCCCAAAACAATGCTTCCTTAATTTGTAGGTTGATAAATGTGAAACATCAAGAAGGTAGGAGTACCTCTAAACACCTGGATAAGTTCTAAGGGAATCTAAATTAATTGATCAATGTCAAGCTTATGCCAGGGGATGAAGTACAAGCTTTGATCTTTTTAATTCTTGACCGGATAGTTGGGAGACTTTGATAGTATCATTTAGGAACTCCACAAGGGATGGAAACATTACTCAGCCAAAGAAAGAAACAAGGGATACATGGTTCCGAATTTGGAACCCTTGTTACAAAGTAATTGTCACATGTGCAAGCAAGAGATTTTCCTTAGAAATTAAGTTGGATCAAATTAGAAAAACAAATCTCACTAGAAACTCCAAATTTTCATCAAATTCAAGTCATAAACCTAACAACAAATAGAAGCAACCCTCTCTAATTCTCTATACCTACAACATTTGTGTATTGTACTACTCAAATGAC